TTTATATTGTTATTTAAGGCAAAGTTCAATTTTGATTCACAGGTGAAAGTCGACTAAATTTTCAACCATTGGTACTAAACGTTCCGACACGTCACGTAGTGTCGGATGATCGTTCTTCGTCTGATGTAGAAGAATTGCAGATATCACCGCAATATGATGTCGAGGCTGCCGACCTTGAACGAGAGCTGGACAATGCAGAGCACCATCTGGACAAAGAGATCGCCATTGCAACCGAAGAAAGCGACGCTGATACTGTAAGTTAAATATGATAGCACTAGCTTTTGCCCGCGACTCGGTCCTTGTGAAATAATTACTTTGGCATGACGCTAAATTTTACCCCCCACCTCATTTACGTAGAAAGTGAAAATATTTTTGAAATATAGAATGTTAAGGAGCTCTTTAAGCCCCTATTTTGAAACATTCTTTATTGGTGCTCTACTTGTATTGGTCTTACCGGGATGTTTTATATATACCTATAGGCCTATAGCCTTCCTCAATAAATGGGCTATCTTACACTGAAAGAATTTTTCAAATCGGACCAGTAAGTAGTTCCTGAGATTAGCGCGTTCAAACAAACAAACTCTTCAGCTTTAAAATATAATATTAGTATAGATAAGTTACATTTTTCACGTTTCTTGAGTTTTCTGTTTTATTATTAGACAAGCGGCCCGCTCCGGCTCCGCTCGGGTCTTTAACAAAAATTTCAACGATAGGTATTTAACGTTATTTTATTTTTTAAATAAAATAACACTTATTGCGGAATAACTATAATAGTTAGACATATGCTGTCGCGACACTTTTGTAAACAATGATGTGTTCTACAAAGTCGTAGTACATTATTTTATTCTATCATCAATAGTTTTCGCAGAGCACGCGATGTAAATAATATTTTAGGTAATTTTTTTACACCTTGGGTTACATTATTGGAGTTTCAGTAGGGATCCCTATTTTTTTCAAAAAAGATTATGTATACCTTATGTCACTCGGGAATAGTGTAGCTTCCAAACAGTGAAAGGATTTTTCAAATCGGTTCAGTAGTTTCGGAGCCTATTCAATACAAACTAACAAACAAATCTTTCTTCTTTATAATATTAGTATAGATATCACATTAATTACGGTATAAACATAAAAGTTAACTCAGTAAAACAATTTACAATGGAATGACTAAAACGGTTCTTCGTTAAAATATATTAATTGACAGAACTCACAATCTATAAACGCTTTAGTGAACACTGTAAAATGATACTTAGTAACATTGGAATTTACTATCAATTTAATACAAGTGACGAGTTGTGCAAATGTTTCTTGCGAAAACTTCGAAGACACATTTATAAGCCCACTGAGTTTCACGCCGGATCTTCTCAGTAGGTCGCGATTCCGATCCGATGGTAGATTCTGTGAAGCACTACTATACTCTTGCTAGGGCTGGTGTTAGCTCACCTACCCGTCCGGGCGTAACTGTAATAGCCTCTTAGGCTACCAGCGAATAGGTAAAAAAAAAAAACACACACACACACACACACACAGACACCTTATACCTTTAAACGAGCAATTCTTGTATATATAATCTGAATCTCAGAAACGGCTCCAACGATTTTCATAAAATTTAGTATACAGGGGATTTCGGGGGCAATAAATCGATCTAGCTACGATTTATTTTCAGAAAATGTTGTTTTATTCATGTTTTCAATAATCAACTCTTCCCGACATCTATTGGCGAATAATAATACTATTTTACTGATTTAAAGACACAACAAGATGGCGTTATAAAAAAAAAGCCGAGCAAAGCTCGGTCATCATCTAGTTTATTTAATACCGAACAAAAAGCAATCCCAATAATTTTACGTTCGTACGAATCTTAAGCAAACACACACCATAACGCATTTGAAACCGTAAATAGCGGATATTTTTGTAGCAGGCGCCGTCCCTGTTTTATTGCGTTACGTTTGGAAATTAGAACAAGGACGTATTCACACCATAATACCTCAATACACGAACAATAAACCACTGCGAATAACTAACTAGACGAAAAACAATAAAAAAATTAAAATTTAGCGTAATTTTAGAAAATAAAAAATTCTAGAATTTTCTTTTTCAAGTTTTTTTATAGCTTAGATGGGTAGATGCGCTCACGCACCGGAGACAATTGACATCAACAACGTAATTGCCTTTGCTCACCTTGAGACACGAGTTCGAAGTCCCAGTTTTATATTTTTTTCTATTGCTTAGATGAGTGGACGAGCTCACAGCCCATCTGGTGTTCAGTGGTTACTGGAACCCATAGACATCTACAACCTAAATGCGACACTCACCTTGAGATACAGTATCTAAGGTCTCGAGTATAGCTACAACGGCTGCCCCACCCTTCAAACCGAAACCTATTACTTATCACGGCACAAATATGAAGGGTACCGGTACGTTCCTTTGCGAGTTCCAAACGCGCGCTTCCACCAGCAAAAATAATTTAGCATTAAGCAGTTATTGTATTTATCTCACTTCTAATGTCTAAGAACGTCCTTCTGTGACTTTTGTTTTGACACAGTGGTGCCATTCTCATCCAGTCTTCGGAGGTACATCGCAGACGTATCGTAAAGAGCATTAATTATATACAACTACTCTATACATACCTGGTGTGGTAAATTTGGACGTAACATTACATGCAGTTGGTGAATATGAAATGAAATGAATCCCTTAAAAACAGACGTGAAAAAATAAATAAAATTAAAAGTTTAATGTATTTTATTTACATACTAGCTGATCCGGCAGACATCGTAGTGCCTCTATCGCTAAATAAAAGACCTAAACTTTTGTATAAAATAAACTTAAAACAAACAAAAGGAATCCGTCCAACGGGGGACGAATCAAAGGAAAAACAAATTGTTATTTTTATTTAATTCCGAGCATTTTCATATTTATTTACCTTTTAAACTTTCTCTGGACTTCCACAAATAATTCAAAACCAAAATTAGTCAAATCGGTCAAGCGTTCTCGAGTTTTAGCGAGACTAACGAACAGTAATTCATTATTAAATTTAAAGAAGAAGAAGATAGATATAGCGACTAAGCTTGGTGAAGCCAAACCGATGCTAGCAATAAAATCCTACCTACCCTCACATTAAGTCGTTTGATTTTGATCTGTACATAAATTCGAGTAAATAATTGTTTAACTGGCTTCAATTCAGCTTTTTACTATCTAAAAGCTTTCATTCGGAGCTGGTATAATAATGAGAGTCACTCTTATCAAATATTTACAACAAAGTGTTTTCAATTTAACCCCCGCAATGTATCACAATTAAAAATCGTTGTTCGCTTACGTGTGAGTCCTTCAATGTAATGAAATGTGTATAGTGTTCTAAAACGAACATACTACAACATACTAATATGTATCTTTCTTTAATTCTTAAACAGGTGGACGAACTTACTATCCACCTCGCATTAAGTGGTTAGTCAACGCCACTCAACAACAAAGTAATATATTTAAAAAATTGCATTTATTGCTTTGGAATTCACAAAATAATTACAGAAAATATTATAACCGAAGTTAATGATCAAATTAATTAGTTACTCGTGATGACTGTCTATCACACAGAATAATTGAAAAGTAGTGGTCCCGCAGTAGTCGAAATTCGACTATAATTAATTGAAATTATAATTTTGAACATTATTATGGTTCTATTTTATTAAAAATAAAATAAAGACTTTACTTTTACTTCTATAATCCCAGATTTCGTCAAAACTGCTACAGACAAATAATATTAAAGATAAACAATATTAATCTTGCCTATTTCTGCCGTGAATATAATAATTATTCTAATATAATATAATAGTTCTAATATAATAGTTAAATAAAATATGAGCATTCTGCACTCCTTCTCTATATTCTCTATAAGTGTGGGAAATTTCATACTCCTACGTCCGCGCAATTTTCGTAAAAAGGGGTACAAAGTTTTTGCTTCCCATATTAATATATAGATTACCGGATCTTATTTAATTGTCACATTTTTTATTTTTATCTATATTACTCGTGTAAAGAACAGATACCATGGAGGCGGCATTTATATAAGTATATTGTTATTTGACAGAAAAACAGAAATGTGAGTTCAATACTTTAGTTAGTTACAATGAAACGACATGAAGATGATTTGTGTTCTGCTCACAATTTACATGTAAACATTACTGTTCTGATTTTTATTTCTTCTAAAACGAACCTAAATTCCGATACGGTGTAACAACGGTTGATTTACGTACTAAAAGCTCGGACGTGCTCCATTTTTCGTTGCGTTTCTTCTACACAAGAAGCTGAACATAGTTACGCAATATTCCAGATGATTGTTTACAGGCGCATGATATTGAGGCTTTTAGTTAATAAATAAAGAAATAATTAAAAAACTGACCCGACTCTAAAACATGCTCGAATCGTTTCACGACTGAAAACGTTTGCTACTTTATTACTTCGTAATTTCCTAACGTTTTCCTCAAAACGTTTCGTTTTGTTCGATGTAGTTTTATGCCTTTACTTAATGTACACAGATCATGTTTACCAGTACATAGTTCGTGCACGTGCAATTCTCGCGCTATCAGCAACGCGTGGCCGTGTCGCTCGCTCAGTGTCGCGTACGATAGCAAAACATTACAAACGATACAAACTCCCAACAAAACAACACGTATATTGACACCGTCGCGACTTCTTTAAGTATCTGATCGAAATCATCATATAGACAATATTTTTTTGTAAAACGAGACACGTATCGATGTTAATTTCGAAGGGGGGTGGAAATAAATAGCGTGACGCGATTGGGTGAAGAAGTGCCGTTCCCGTGGTAGCGGAATAACAACATCGCGTGATCGATAGCTGTGAAGATAAAGTTGCGTGCCGAACTCATAGTGGTAAGTCATGCAAGCGGTGGCGCCGCACCGATCTCAACTGTTGCGATCAGAGGTACTGGTGTGCGCGTAAGCAGTAGTGGACATCAACAGCGGGAACAATAAGCATGCCTTGACCTTGCGGCGTGCGGGGGGCAGAGGCGCGCGATGACGCCAGCGCGGCCGGTACGCGATTCGGCTTTCGGGTGCGATCCTTTGCCGACGGCATCCGCGTAATCGGCGGCTTGCGCGATTCCAAAGTTTGTCGAAAATACCTAGGCGGGTGGGCGGCGCCGCGACGCCGAGGACTCTCACGCCGCTTTCATTCTGCGAGTCGGCGCCGACGCCGACGCGCTTCGAACGACAACCGACCGACCGAACCGACTCCCGCCGACCGTGTACTCCGCGACATGCGCGCTTCTCGAAATGGGTAACGTGCAGTGCTGCGCCAGCGGACGCTTCAAGGAGGGCAACCCGCCTAATAAACCAAAGAACAAAAAGAAGAAATCAAAAGGACTCAAAGGTGTAAGCAAGAAAAGCAACGGTGTTGGTAGTGGGAAAGGCAACGCGTTTGTTCAGAAGGCATTAACAGTGGCGGAGGACGGATCCGAACGAGCGGCTCCGGCCGTTTCCCCGGCTGAGGCTTTAGCACAAACATCACCACCCGCCGATGAACCACCCGCAGTTGGTGCCTCAGACGAACAACTAAGAGCCGAGACGGAGGCTAATGATTCAGATGCTGCCGAATCGGATGGATCGCGCACTGAAAGCATGGCAGCCGCAAGAGAACGTTTTTTTGGACAGGTAGGCAGAACTTAAAGTTAAATTGTTTTACACCGAAGTAGCTATGGCAACAGAATAATCATAAGTGCTACGCTGCGTGACGAACCCCTTTATCGTAGCGGAACGAATCTGTTCGACGCAGAGGTCGCTCTGGTTTATATCAACCGGTGTACTGTTAATAACTTTCAAGCCCTATCTGCGTACAGACTCTTATCTTAGTCTTGGCTCGAGATCGAAGTAAATAAAAAATACAAAAACATGTTTATTTTTATTGAATATCAATAGATAAAACGCAGCTCACCGACAGAACGTATCACGTATCGGATTAAATTACTTTCGGTCAATTTTCATTGTGTAATCGCATCGTTTCTCAGTGCATTGTTGAGATGCCACAGTACCTATTCGATAATTGTTTCATAACGTACAAAATAATAAATGTAATAGCTACGTCATTTATCTATAATGAGTCCCAAAGTATTTATGTATTAATAAAATTATCACGATTGACCGTGACGAATGAATTCAAAGACGAAAAATGCGTCGCGCGGTATTTTGTGCAATCAGGCCGCATAAAATTAATGCCCAATGAGCCGACCATCTTTACCATTTTATTTGTTAATCAACAGACAACTTAGACTTAGCTACGGTCAATGTCAAAGGTAATTAGCATTGACTATAGGTACGATGCCAAAATATCACTAACAAATAATCTGTAAAGTCCATTTTCTTTTAAGAATATCACATTTTATGTACTTAAAGGCTACCGGACAGGTTTTGTGTGATGATCTAACTTGCATATTCTATCAAGGATCATGCTTATGTTGTCATTTAAATGAAGAATCTTTAGATAATCTATATATATATAAAATAAATTGTGAATAAACTTGTATGTTTTTTTAAATGATTCAACCAATTAAAATTTGATTTCGAAAATCAAACCAATATTATAAGGTACGAGAAAAACTCTATCTCTGATTCACTACATCGATTTTGACGAAACACGGTACGGAAAAAATTTGAGCCTTGAGAAAGAAAACTAGCTTTCATCTTAAAGCAAATACGAGTCCCCACCCAACAATAAGGCGTAGTTCACGCTGGCGAAACCGGGGATGGAAACACAACGCATATTTTCATAAAACGTAATGTTAAAAAATAAGACTTGTAGCTGGAAACAAAAGAACTTCATAAGCTATAATGAATCTAATGAGAATTATTAGCCCCGGCCAGACCTCATTGCGACCAATCTAATGAAAACAATAACTCGATGCAAAAGCGGCCGCTGAATATACGTATCTTTTACATATTTACCAGCTCTACAAACCTATATTATACCGTATTCTTTACATAAACATAATTAACAATATTCAAGATTCTACAAGCACTAGAAGTATGAAAATTGAATTGAAAAATATCATTGCATTTAGATATCCTCGTACGGCTCAAAGATGTTAAGGAATTAATTTTAAAGCGCGTATGAAATCACAGACTAACGCTAGTGCATAAATATACGGGGGAAAAAAGAAGAATTAGGAAGTGTACATACTTTAGATCAGCTTTTCCCAAAGTGGGCGATACCGCCCCCTCGTGGGCGCTGCAGGTCTAAAGGGGGCGGTAAGAGACCCAGAAAAATGGGGCCGTTGTGTAGAGACTTGGGAAGCGATTTGTAACTTCATCTAGGAGGACTCTTAGACACCGACTGAGCTCTCGCTATAGTGTTTATTAAGTAGGTGAAAAAATGGGAGCGCTAAAAAATAATTGATTCTCAAAGTGGGCAGTAGACAAAATAAGTTTGAGAACCCCTGCTTTAGATAATTATAATATTATTGCGGTCGATGGTCGACGAGCACCAGTTGTAATATATTTTTGTATAAATATACCACTGACATTTGTCATCTTATTATTATTACACAATTCACTAATATTTACACGACCGATGTTAATTATAAAATTAACTTATAAAATTTAATGTTACAAGTATGTATGTATATTGGTTCTATTTCGAGTTTTATTAGCTCAGACCTATTAGCTTGGGTCGGAAAATCTGTGTTTCCCTAATGGGCATTAAAACAGGGATTGAAGATAATGATAGTTTCTGATAGCTTAGGGGTTATGGTCCGAATACCTTAATTACAGTAATATATTCGGTAATTAATTACGTGTAATACGACCCCTAACTCCTTGATGTACAGCTGACTTCACCGTCCTACTTTCGTAGCATTGGATCTAAAGGATAGATAGTAATAGATAGGAAGATAGATAGATAAATAAATAGGAATCTATTTTTCCAACTATCGCCCATATTCCTAAGCCCTGTTGTTGATACTGATGGGCGCACGTACTATTTAAGGGGTGTATCGATCTTGCGATTTTTGCTGCAAGATATCTATGCGATCCCGTTTGTAGGACAAGACAATCGTCATTCCAATCTAACTGAGATTTCAGTCTTTATTTGAAGCCAGCATTCAAGTTGGGGTGCATTTGGACGTTAATTACGGCTTAATTAAAAGGAGAGATAAGCCGAACGCCAAGAATATGTTATATTTTAATTTAATTTATAGTTTTCTTATCTTTATTGTTATCATTTTATGTTTAATTAAATAAGTTGAAATCTAACAGCAATAAAGGCTTATTTATTTATTTATTTATTAACTGCTTAATACAAAGTGGTGTATGCTACGTCTATAGAATTTAGCTTTTTTTATTGCCCGTGTAAGCGGACGAGTTACCGTCGCCCATGGACTTCAGCAATGCCAGGGGCAGAGCCAAGCCGCTGCCTACAACAGCTATATAGAAAAAGAAAAAAAAACCGTGTAGTTGAGTATTTTGGTTCGTTTATCAGAAATTTTCCGGATCAACGCAAACCTATCGTATGCGTAGGCACCCACTGATTCTCGAATACGTATCATTACAATGCTTCACGAAATTTCATGTCGCGACCGTCTTATGACTATACGTCACCAATGTACAGTACGTTTATAAATAGAAAGTTCTTTGAATCGACCACGTTATGTTTCGAAACCCATTCTGAGGGTTACAGAAGAGACGACTTCGTATACACGTGTGTCATTGACAGAACGAGGAAAGTGGACGAGTTCTTCTGATTATGCCCCATCTTTTGGAGCTGGTCCAGACGATTTCCCGAAATAACTGCGACTGTTCCGAGTCCACATATGATTTTATTCGCGGTTCCAACAATACGTTTCGCCGCGACTCGCCTACCTTTGAGTACACACATTCACGGAATATAGGGTTTTTATTAGTTAAATGTCATGTTTTACGATAACTAGATGATGACCGATGATTTTTTTTTTATAACGCCATCTTGTTGTGTCTTTAAAGCGGCTAGTTGCCCTCAATTAAGAAAAATAGTATTAATATTCGCCAATAGATGTCGGGAAGAGTTGATTATTGAAAACACGAATAAAACAACATTTTCTGAAAATAAATCGTAGCTAGATCGATTTATCGCCCCCGAAATCCCCTGTATACTAAATTTTATGAAAATCGTTGGAGCCGTTTCCGAGATTCAGATTATATAGGTATATATTAATATACAAGATTTGCTCGTTTATAGAGATAAGATTATCGATTATAATTTATGAACTCGTGATCTTGGAATAAAGTTTATAGGGCTAGGAACGTTTTGGTGATTGAAATAAATAAATAAAATCAAATGCAATTGGAAATTGTTAAAAGATTAAGAATTTTCATAGCCTAACGGATAATACGCCCGGTATACTCAAATCAAAGACTCTACTATCTCAGAGTTCGGTTCCCGCAAGCCGTGCCAAATTTTTTTTCTACATACTATTTAACACATTTTGACGAATAACTTCAACGATGATTAACATTGAAAAAACAATATATAATAATTACTGGTAATAGGGTTTTATATGTACGCACGCGTAGGTATCACCCTATTTTGGCTACAAAGCAATTATGCATTCCCCCTTTGCAAGGTGGGACAACCGTTTCGCAAAACAATATAGAGACTTCCACATTTCCACCTCATATTTTATGTTGAATAGCGGCCTTCATATCGTGATGTCCATAAACTCCTGTAACCATTTAAAACTAGGCCTTCCGTGAGCAATTAATAAAAAGACGAATAATAATTTGATTAAAGTAATTAATACGTTTCACTTACTAATTAATTTAGTGGTGGTAGGGCGTCTTGTGAGTCCGCACGGATAGGTACCCGACCTTATTTCTGCCGCGAAGCAGTAATACGTTTCGGATTGAAGAGTGGAGCAGCCTTAGGACTAATGTCTCAAGGTGCATGGTGACGTCGTTGATGTGTTTGGGCTCCGGTAATCACTTAACGCCAGGTGAGGCCTGAGCTCGTTCACCCATATCTATATATATAAAGATGAATTGCTGTTCGTTAGTCTCGCTAAAACTCGAGAACGGCTGGACCGATTTGGCTAATTTTGGTCTTGAATTATTTGTGGAAGTCCAGGGAAGGTTTGAAAGGTAGATAAATACGCAAGTTCTCGGAATTAAATAATAATAATAACAATTTTGTTTTCCCTTTGATGCGTCTGCCGTCGGACGGATTCCTTTTATTTGTTTTAAATTTATTTTATACAAAAGTTTAGGTCTTTTATTTATCGATTGAGGCACTACGAAGTCTGCCGGGTCAGCTAGTAAGGAATAATACTAAAGATTTTACGAAGTACAACATTATTTTTATTCAAAACATCGTTAACCCTATAGCGGTGAATACTGATTTTGATTTCAGTTATCTTTAGATAATCAATAATGTGAAACCAAATTGGCAAACAAATAACTTTTTCGAAAAAGGAATTTGTTAATCAGCTTAAACAATGTACTTATTACCACCAAATATTTATATTATGTCAAAATAGTCAAAGTATTCACCTATAACCTCTAAATTCTGTTAGTTTGCAATCATTACATAATTAGCATGTATTTCGGTTTTGACGGAAACACGAACTGACATTAATGAAAATTCCGACCTTATTCCGAAGGAGCATAAAGTTGATTTTTTATGTTCATAT